AAAAGACTTTAATGACCAGATGAAAGGTGAAACAATGCATTTAAATAGATTCGATGGAACTAAAGAAAATGTTTCTTCTCCACCAGTAGTTCTTCCGTATGGTCCCTATGGAATGTATGGAAACCCTTACGAAAGACCATTTGACCCATTGACTGGTGGAAGTAATTGGTATCATTATGGACGAAGAAGAAAGATAGTCAAGTTGGAGACAGACGTGAAGAAAGCAACTAAAAAGAAACCAAGGAAGAGAGTTATAAAGTAATGAATTCAACAGGGTGAAAAAAGAGGTGAGATCTCACCACTTCACCTAAATTTAAATGGATGTTTTCATACGTGTGAGGGTGGTGATATCATTTATTTTTAAGTTTATTTTTTATTTTATTTTTATTTTATTTTTATATAAATGACGAAAACTATTGAGATAACAAACTACAACGGTCATGAGTTCAAGAATTTGTTCTTCGTTCCTCGTGAAAATACATTCTATCAGATACGAGGGAGAAAGGGTAAAGTTAGTTTGAGCGTTTATGAAGGAATGAAGAATGGAAAGTTTATACAAGCATACGATACAAACGGTAAACGTGTTTCATTAGCTTTGTCAAAACTTACTAACATTCATTTTGACAGTGACTTTGACATATATGAAGAAGAAAGTGAGTCAGAAGATTATGAGCTGTTATGTGAAGCACAGCAATGGGAGGAGTTGCAATACTTTTGTAAGTGAGAACGTTTATTTTTACATTAGTGAAGTCGTTTGTGAAAACATTAGTGAAGTCGTTTGTGAAAACATTAGTGAGGTGAAGTGGTTGGTGGCTTTGTAAATATTTAAGGTTAAGTTAGTGTTGTCGTTTGTGTTGTCGTTTGTGTTGTCGTTTGTGTTGTAAAATATACGTTAACGACTTTGTAAAGTGTCAAAACCGCTAAGTGGTGTACGGAGGCGCGCAGTGCCTCAGTACACGACTTAGGTATACTAACTAGGAAGTACTTTGTTGAAGAGAGGAAGCTGCATCTTGAGCAAGAGAGGAAGCACTTTGATGAAGAGAGGAAGCATCTTGATCAAGAGAGGAAGTACTTTGAAGAAGAGAGGAAGCACCTTGTTGAAGAGAGGAAGCATCTTGATCAAGAGAGGAAGCATCTTGATCAAGAGAGGAAGTACTTTGAAGAAGAGAGGAATCACTTTGATGAAGAGAGGAAGCACCTTGATCAAGAGAGGAAGTACTTTGTTGAAGAGAGGAAGCTGCATCTTGAGCAAGAGAGGAAGCACTTTGATGAAGAGAGGAAGCATCTTGATCAAGAGAGGAAGTACTTTGAAGAAGAGAGGAAGCACCTTGTTGAAGAGAGGAAGCATCTTGATCAAGAGAGGAAGCATCTTGATCAAGAGAGGAAGTACTTTGAAGAAGAGAGGAATCACTTTGATGAAGAGAGGAAGCACCTTGATCAAGAGAGGAAGTACTTTGTTGAAGAGAGGAAGCACTTTGATGAAGAGAGGAAGCATCTTGATCAAGAGAGGAAGCGTAAGAACCGATAACATTTACAAAATATTAAATTTATTTTGTAAATTTTCCAAAAGCCTTAGTACCAATGTAATATAAATGCTCCAAAAATACCATCCCTCCTTCCAAAAGCGTAAGAACCGATAACATTTACAAAATATTAAATTTATTTTGTAAATTTTCCAAAAGCCTTAGTACCAATGTAATATAAATGCTCCAAAAATACCATCCCTCCTTCCAAAAGCGTAAGAACCGATAACATTTACAAAATATTAAATTTATTTTGTAAATTTTCCAAAAGCCTTAGTACCAATGTAATATAAATGCTCCAAAAATACCATCCCTCCTTCCAAAAGCGTAAGAACCGATAACATTTACAAAATATTAAATTTATTTTGTAAATTTTCCAAAAGCCTTAGTACCAATGTAATATAAATGCACTAAAAACCCAACTGCCAATAGCATGTATTCAAAAAATGCAATTCAATACAAATTTGATTGCATTTTTTGAGATGGAAGTGTATCTGAATTCACAATTGTAATCCACGAATACACTTCCATCTCATTGATAAGAGGCTAATGTTTTTCTCATTAATAAGGCGCTGTTGGCCTCTATCCATAGCCGAAGTGATATTAACGTATGTTAACGTACAAAGTAAAAACATGTTTTTTCTTTTTAAAATCATTTAGTAATTAATAATATTTAGCACTCATAGTAAAAACATTAAAATTTATAAGAATCGTTATGAAGAAAAATTGAGAACTTATGATTTTTATTTAAGAAAATGATTAAATAATATATAAATAACCATATAAACAACATTTTAGATTCCTCTGAAAAGGGTATCTCAAATTGGTCTATGACCAATTGAATGGTTCGCCGGTTATTCAAGGTACGGTAATTCTGATTGAAAGGATATTTTCTGATGGATATAATGATAAAAATAATTTTAAAAATACTTTTATCAATGTCGGTATTCAACATGAACGATCGAGTCAATTTTTGTTAAAATTTGAGAGTGAGGAAAATAAGTATTGATTCTTGACATGTTTTTTAATGGGTGTATTATGTAATCCTGTTTGTTATTTGGAAAATTAATTAAAAACAGAAGAATTGCTCAATTCTCCGAGTAGGTGACAAAAGTGCATACTCTTAAACAACCGTCGGATTTCCGGGTGAAATCGTGACACACTTTTGTCTTTCGTAGGCAGTGGTGGTTGTTACAAAAGGTAACTTCGAATGTAGCGTGAAATCTGCAAAAAAAATTCTGAAATTTGAATGGAGAACACAAAAATTGAATAGTTTACGTCAATAAAAAAGAGAAAATGAAGCCAATGTGTCTCGAACCTAGGACTTAGAGCAGCAATCCCACTGTTTATCAAATTACACTACATGCATCTCTCACCTCAGTGAATGAGATCAACTATATGATAACTTTTTCCCCATTATATTCTTGTGGAAAAGTGACAAATAGCAACTTTGACCCTCTCTCCATGTTTTTTAATGGGTGTATTATGTAATCCTGTTTGTTATTTGGAAAATTAATTAAAAACAGAAGAATTGCTCAATTCTCCACTAAAAGAAAAGAGATGAAATCCTGGAATTATATTTATGGTAAATTCGCGAAATATGATTTTAACTGGAGCTAATAATCATGATCTCATCCAGTATTTTGAATCATTTCAATTATTATAGATGAAAAAATTATTTTAAAAAAAAATATAACATCACTCCATTTTAAATAATGCCCAAGACATATTTGCATTCATTGGATTAATTTTTTTGAAATGAAAAAAAAAATCTGGCAAGATACCAAGAACTTACTCCGAACAACTAAAATGTTAATCCTCAGTTGTTGTATTTTCTATAATGTAAATTCATAAAATAGAATACTCAAATTCAATTAGATGTTATGTTTCAATAAACAATATTTACAGTAAATTTGAAAATCAAAATAATGTTACAATTCATTCAATTTGACCAATATACTCACTTATTAGTTCCATTTCCTTTCTTTCATTATTTCTAAATAAAATTATTCATTTGAAACACCTGAATGCGCAACCTTATATTAACTGAATATTCTATAAAGTGATACATATTCTCAATATTCAAGGCGATGCAATTTTTGAATTTATCTCGAATATCTAATAAAAATTTTAAAGATTCTTTTATTTGTTCTAGTTTCAGCTTTTACTTGATACAAAAATTGGATATTTCATGGTCATTGAAATTTCGTTTTCCATAGAAATCATTTTTATGAAATTCTATGTCACTTTTAAGGATGATTAGCCACTATAGAGTTTGTGCAACGGCTTTAACGTTGAATGAAACAAAAAGTATTCAAATATTTGAATAGAAAACGTTTGAGGAGATTTCAAGATTGATTATGTGGAAGAATGCTAAGTTTCAGATGACCTGCAAATGATTTATATATTTTTGTCTGTACTTCTAGAATATGACCTTGCCAACGGCGAACCCCTATTATTATTAATGATTTCTTTCAGCACTACTCTGCCTTGTGTTCATATGAGTATATATATCATTCTACTTAAAGCCGAAAAAAAAGTTATCCTTTAATCAATTACTTCAATAATTACCATATTTGATTCATTTAGCATATTCAAGCAGATTTGAGCTACCTCTAAAGATTCATATTAGATGATTTTAAGAAAAAAGACTTGAATTGTTATATAATATTAGAATGAAAACAGTCTATGGAATCGATAAAGCGAATAGACAAGTATCATGTAATCTTGATAATGATGATGATGTGAGCAGATACTTATAATAAACTTATTTGGTGCTAATTCTTTTTGGAAGTGTCGGAATTTTCATACAAGAAAAGGATGGTATATATAGTGATTCTTTCGTTTTTTCGACAGGTTTGTAGTGCTTTCGATGACTTTGTCACGCCTTCGACATGTACTTCGGGTGACTGTAGTCAAATTAATAAAATATATCATTGAATCCTTCTCTGTCTTTTTCTTGCAGATGCAGTCAGCAATTTTTTGTCTTTTATACAGGAATTAGTATCCAAAACTACAATGATTATTACCACTTTGAAGAAGAGTCTGATAGATCTCTGTTAATCAAAAGAAGATATATTTTTCAGATCCCATAATGCGCTAAATCATATTAAAAGCAGAAATTTACGTATAATACATAAAAAAAGTTTAATTCTTTAAAAAAATAATGATAAATAAAATTAATCTGTATTTAAAAAACTACCAGTAAATCCAGAGTTGTGATGATGTGTATCTGCATCAAAATTAATTGTTTCAAAAAAAATTTATATATCAATTAAAAAAACAAATTATGAAAAAAATTGTTGATGAAAGTAGTTATTGTATGTATAAAAATGTCAATTCTGATGATATCTATTGAATTCTTTTGTTTTTTGGTATTTTTTTGTATAAAATTTCCGAAAAACTATGTATTGAAAGGAGAATTGTTTGCTATGGCTGACTATTGGGGAATAAAGAAGTGGGAACAATAGTATACATTTAATATCCAAATTTCAATATATCCAATAAATCAAGCTGTTGATTCATTGTAGCCACGCCCTCGCAGACGTGGAACGAGAAGATCGGTGGTGGTGAATAGAATGGCCTTCCAAGAGTAACGCATATATCTCTTGTCGTATTTCTATAAACGCAGATGCCACCGGACATTCTCGGCACTAAGAATATGCCAGCTGAATCGACGCCACCGTCTGCAACGGTTGTTGTGTCCTCATCTGGGACGATATAAAAAACAAACCACCACCGTTTGACGGTATCAAAAGCACGAACCATAGCGAACTTCTGCTTGTTGACGAGGCCTCCGATCAAGATGAGGTATCTGTCAACAGGAATAAGGAAAGCTCCTTTCAGATCGAACGAAGGAGGGGATCCTGTAACTGTAAACGATTCTATTTTGCGCGTGTTGAAGTCGTAGATGATCATGTCATCGATCTTTGAAGCGCATGTGATGTAAAGTTTATCATTTGAAACTGCAAATGCTGCGTGGTCTCTTCCTGGGACATCTGATTGAAGCTGAGACCACGTGTTGTTCGTGATGTCGTACTCCCATAAATCATCGAGTAATTGGCCGTTGAAACCGCCCCAAATGATAATTTTGGTTTTGTATGTTGCCATAACATGCCCGGTGCGAGGGCATGGACCGTCTGTATTACTGTTGATTTGTGCGCAACTCATAGCGTTTAAATCTATGACGTGAAAGTCAGAAAAGTATGTTTGACCGCATTGTCCGCCAAAAACAAACAAGTTGAGGCCGACAACGACTGATTGAGCACCACAGCGAGGTGATGCCGTGTAGCCTGAGAAGGTGAGACGCTGCCACATGGAGTTTCTTAAATTGAGAGCCCAATAATCGTTAATGTAAGAACCATTTTCAAGTTGACCGTATCCCATGATAGCAATATCTTTGTCTGGCAAATAACTGTAGAATACTTCATTTCGGTTGTCCGGAGTAACGGAGTTTGGAAGATAGACAGACCATTTTGATTGCAAGTGAGTATCTCTGATTTTATCTAAAGCCCCTGTCGGCTGGACAAGTGGGCGCTGTCGCTTCTTTGCAGCCGCAGCAGCTACCCCTTGCCGGCGGGATATCTCGGCACTTTCATTTATTCCCATTTAAAAGGCTTCAATAGAAATAAAGTCACTCTCAAAAAAAAGTTGATATCAGCTGATTCTTTTTCTATGAAATTATATTATAGTATTGGTTCTTTTTTAGATTCAATTTTAACGATGTAATTTGAATTGCTACGCTTTCGATCGGCAATTTTGATCTTTGAAGAATTTTTGTTATTTAGATTAGGAGCATTAAAATATTGTTCAACTAGGTGTCCTCAAATGCTCTCAAAATATATCCCATTGAATTTTTTAGCCCATCGTATGAAGCAAGTTGTAATGATGATAGATTATTCCGGCATGAATTGCAGTTATCAAGAGATTATTAAATTTTGCAAATTACCACAGACTATTTCAGAGGATTGAGTGGCAACTCAATCCTCTGAAATAGTCTGTGGTAATTTTTAGTCTCTACACTATTTCAATATAAGCTCCATTTTTAAACAGTTTTTAAAAATCGAGCATTGAAAAGTGTGATGAGACTTAGATATTAATCCATTTTTTGAAATTTGAGCGAAATAACACGATAATTGACGATTATTTTTTGTAAATTTTGGAGTCATTTGGGAATATATTTTGTTTTTTTCTATAAAATATAGTTAACTGTTGATAAAAATTAAATTTGGCAAAATTAATCTTGGACTATAGGTATTATGGAGCTAAAATATATAATTGTTGCATTCTATAGAATTAATGCACATTTAGAGATAAGCCCCATAAATCAGATTTCTTTTTCAAAGAATATTTGTCTTGGTGAAGATTGGCATATATACTATAAAGCAGTTTATGAGTAATAGAAATTCGCTTATTTATGCTTTAATTAATTCTTAGCAAGAATTCAAATCAAAAATAGCGTAATTGATATTAACTTACTCTTATATATTCCATACTTTGCACAAATATATTGTAAATGTCTTTCCTCAACAATATATCATATATTTAATTATTATGAAATATATTCGTTCGTATATTTCTTTTAATGATTGAAAAAACGAGTGGGAAGGCTATATTTTGGTCTAATATGATATACGTTGATGGTGTTTCTCTTAGCCGTTGATGATAATGGAAAACTATTTAAAGTTAAATTGTAAAGTTGAAATATAATTTTGTATGTCATTGTATGAATATACTTGCATGTGAAAAGATCTTGGCTATTGTTCTGCATCAATAAACACTGAAATTATCTTTATATGAATAGAAATTTTGTTTTTTGTGAGTTATTTGTTTGAAATATGAAAGCTATAGTTATGTTTGTATGGTATAATGGTATGAAATCTATACTTTTGCAATTCTATTTAATTATTATCAAAATCAATTTTGAATAGAAATTTTTAATCAACTATTTCAAGACAATATATCCTTTAACCATTATATTTTGATACACCTAATTTGCCCATCATATCCAAGTAAAGGTCAAGTGCTCATCTGAAGCTGGCTTGACCCACATCAACCAATTTTACAACATAAAGTTCAAATAATGCATGTTTATAGTAGTACAAATGTTATGATGAAATAATCAATCAGATTCCATCGGAGGCTCAAAAAATAACCGATAATTGGGATTCAAATTTCATCGTCATAAATTCTCAAAAATTTTTGAACTATGGAGAGTGTTATCGAGAATCTCAACGAGATTATTAACTCCAAGAGACTTCTCGAGCCGAGTAAGACTATAGACACTGTTCTCATTCGATTTCAAGAAAATCTTCCGGCTACTCTCTCAGATAAACAAGTAGATATGTATGATAGATACCTAATAAAACTGTTAAATGCAAATGGAGGTGATATATCATCTAGATGTGCGATTAACATTGGAAATCATCTTTCAGAGATATACGAAAGAAGAAAATTACCAAAATTTTTCAATTTATTGCAAAGACTCAATGAAAAACCAACTCAATCTGTTATATATGCTATAGGTAAGGTTATTGAGCGTGTTGGTGCCCATTCTAAGTCAGCTTTACCAGCAATTATCGACAAATTACTCGGGATGCGTCAAAGTCTCCATGTAGCAGCATGCTACGCTCTTAAATGCATCATAGACGTCAGCCCTGAATCTGTTACTAAGAATGCCGACAAAATATTCAAATTTGCCAGCTCATATATCAATGAAATAGATGAAGCGTCACAACTTCTTGCGAATCAACTCATTCGAGCTGTAGTCACATACGAGGTCGTGAATATCCGCAAAATACGTAAAGTTCTCCAGCAGGCGATGTTTGTTGCTCGATCTACTTTTGTTGTTGAAATAGCAGCGTCATCGGCCGGTGCAACAGCGCAAAGGATTCTTGCTCCCATTGACAAAATCAACGATAAAAAGCTACAGCAAAAGACGTGGAAAGATACTTTTGATTTTCTCTCAGATTTCAAAGAGAACTTCGACAGTGTCTTCAAATATTTCTTAGATTTACTCGAACCTGCATTCGTTTACAACAACGCAAAGGCTCTTTTTGAGTTTGCTTTGTCAGTAAATCCACAATCAATGGCAAAGGTCAATGAATTCTTCGGAAAAGACGTACGATCGGAACTATTCAGAACTCTCGTTACTCACGCCGCTCCAAACATTACTTATCTCAAAGCGGCTTCATTTGATGAAGATTCGACCAGAGAAACCGCTGGTATCGGCGTATCGATGCTTTTATCCACAAATATTGAGGAAAGAAACTCCGCTTGCTCTTTCTTCGTTCTTTTGGCCAAGAAATATCCTGAAATTGCCCTTGAGAACCTCCAGGCCGGCGCGCAGTTCCTTTCTGCACCTCCATCGAAGGGAGACAACCTTGCTCTTCAATACAACAACATGGCTGAGCTTTGCGCAATTATTTTATCTGTCATTGAAGACAGAGAAGCCGCAGTTAAGAAAGTCGAGCCATATATCAAGAGATATGTCGAGTTCCAGTCGAAGAGAGTCAAAAACGCCGCAATCGCCGCTCCATTATTAATAATTTGCGGATGCATGCCCGAATTTGAGTTTTCGAACGATGGAAGTGCGTTTATTGACCATTTCAACAATCTTCTGAAGAACGATCTCCACAACGAACACAAATCCAACGTTGTCGGATCAAGATATTGCGAAACTGCACTTTTTTACTTAGTTACACACGATCACCACCAAGCAGAAGCCATAACACGTAGTTGCTTACCATATTTGAGTAGAATGACACCAGCAGGTCGATTGTTTTTACTCAAATTATGTTCGAAATTCAAGATTCAGTCAGCATTTGACATTTTCTACAAACTTGTCAATGCCAACTGTATTACCAGACCATATGCATTACATCTTATGTCTCCAATGTACACTCCGAAAGATTATTTCACTCCAAGAAAGGGAATTGCTCCAAATATCGGTTCTCTTTTATTTGTTCCCGACGAAATCGTGTTCGGACAAGCCATTATTGAGACATTACCCGAAGCATTCAAGAATTTGTCACTTGAAGACAGAAAGATCAAATTAGAACAACTAATTGATGAAAAAGTGAAACATCCAATGTACGCCATCCTTCTCCAGCTTTACAAAACATGTCCAAACGACATGCCAGAGGATTTCCACAACCACATGTTGAAAGAACTCTTTGTAAAGCACATAACCATCGAAGAAAGTCAAATTTTGTCAGAATGTATAGCTTTACATGTCAAACAGTTTCTTGACAGTTTCAAAGAAGTCTCGCAGTATTTAGACAGGCGTAATTCATATAGTTTATGTTTCTTAGTTGCTTCGATTTCGAAACATGTTACATTAAGTGATTCCGTGATTACTTTATTTTTGTATTCTATGCAAGTTGCTATAAAAGATCCAAATTTATACACATACGCATTACACGCTTTGTGTGAGATCTACGAGACATTAAGTCAGCAACTTGCAGCGATGATGGTAGGAGATGCACAATGCCAAGTCATTTTGAAATGCATGTATTCGATGCCAACAGCAGATCCGCATTCATTGATGTTGATTGAAAGATGTGTTGAACGATTAGTTCCTATTTTATTACCTTTCTTGTCTAGCGAATCTACTTTTGAATTATTGTTTTTAGTTATACAGTGTTTTAGGAATACTCCTGTTCCTTTCGCTTCTGAGTTCTTCCATTTGGTTCTCAGAGCGAGTTTGGCTTTTTCGCCAAGATTGTTATCGAAATTCACCTTGAAATTTCCTCCAAAGAATTCAAGTGCAGAACTGAAATTAAGTGTTTGTGGAGCGATGTCTGATGCTTCACACATTTCTCCTTTAAGTGATGAAAACTTTGATTTGATTCCAAGTGTTTTAATCTTGTTGCAAAGAACGAAAGATCAAAGAGCATCACAATTCGTTGTTTCTTTAGCGAGATCAACAAGTGAAAGTAGAATGTCTGATTGGCTTTCTCTCTCAAAAACAGTGTTATCAAGTAATAAAATGCCTGAATTTGGTTCTGCGACTGTTCAACCGAACACAAAAGTTAAAGCATGTGCATTAGATTTCACGAGATCTTTGTTACCTGCTTTGGCTAAACAAAAAGAACTAAAAACAGAGTGTTTGGATGATATGATGACATCAACAATTCGTGCAGTTGAAACACATAAAATAGAACTCCACGAAATTGCTTATCAAACATTATCCGATGTAATAACTAATTTCTCACAAAGAACAACAGATAATTGTCCTATTTTAGAATTGTATGAATCACAGTTTTCTATTGCATGCAAACATGCATTTCCTAGTTCATTAGATGTCGCTGCAAACTTCATCACTACATTCTTGCAGTTCCTCTTCTCATCAGAATCAAATAATTCCAGATCAGAAATTATGCATTCTGTTGTTTCTGGACTTGAAAAAGTTGGAAAGAAATCATTTGGATATTTGGACATCGCATCAAAAGTTGTTGAAATTTGTTCTACAAGACCGAATCTTGTAAAAGAATTCGGTAAATTCTTTGAATTAATTGGTGGAAACTTCAAAGAATGGTTAATAGAATGCGTAAGAATCAGAACAAACAAGAATTGTCCATGGGAACAATTATCATCATTCAGAGCACAATTTTCACATTTTTATTCAAGATTTTTGTTGAGTTGTGTTTGGTTGAGGTCTTATTCACCTCAATTAATAGATACAGAGACACTTGCTGCTTTTCTTTCATTAGAAGCAACAACAGCAAGTGAAACATGGCGTGTTTCAGCAGGTGTTTCTGCTTCAACAGCTTTACTTGAGAACTACAAACAAGATATTTCGAAAGAGATGTTGATCCATTTAATACATGTTGTTTGTGATGCTGTTTGTAGAAATACTATTTTATTGAAACCATTGACATCTAGTTTTGTAATTGCTGCATGCAAATGTAATGGTGCTTATGATAATGCATTAGGTTTATTGAATGCTGTCATAAGAGAGAAATGCGGCGCATTGGCTTTGTCAAGTGTTTTGATGCTGAAATCTCATGAAGTATTGAAATACGCTGAACAAATTTCTTCATACATTGTTCAGTCATTGAATGCGAATGAGTTTAAGTGTAATGAAGCAATCTGCGCTGCCACGATCTTGATGGATCTTTTAGATGACGAAGACATGTTTAATGACGTAATTGCGGAGTTCTTACTTGCACAAGACACTAAATTCGGATTGATTGTTTGCAGAAGAGGATTGACAAAATTCCCAGGCTGTGCAGCAGCTTCTTCTGTTGCAAGACTTTGTAAAAGAGCTATATTGGATGGAGGTATTGATTTAGCTGCTTTCTTGTTAGCAAGAAGTGATCCTATTGCTTTGGATGTTTTATCAAGAGGTGTTTTATCATCAGCAGTTGCTAAATTGGAAAAATTGGGTCCGAATTCAGCATCAAATGTCATTGATTTCATTACTTTTTGTATCAATAACATTTTCTATGATAATACATTTGATTGCACAGCAATTGTTAATGCGATATTTGATACTGTCTGCAAATGGGGTCCTTCTAAAACATACGGATTAAAAGTTACAGCAGCATTCGCGAGATTGGTAACAATGATAAATGATAATATAACTGTTGATGATATTGATGAAGATAAAATGAGAATGGCTATGTCGATTTTGAAGAAACATGACGCATTGAATTCCAAACCAAAGCCAGAACAAATCTCTTTGAAAGTGTTCTCAACAAATGTGAAGCGAAGAAATGACAATGATGGTGAATGGCAGGATTTGGATGATTCTTCTGATTTTGAATAATTTTATTTCTGTTTATTTTTTTAATATGTTTAGTTCTTATATATATATTTTAAATAAAAGTGATTTTATATATATAACTTTATATTTCTGGCATTCATATAAAGGTCGATGAAAAATTGTGCGTTTTTTTTAAAAAAAAACGCCGTTTGAGAGGAAAATTGAGAGCCCCGATCTATACTTTTTGACATTGCCAAAAACTTTGAAAGGACCAAAAAAATAGTGTTAGAAAGTATACAAATGTATACCTTCTGACGAACAGACTCTCAGAAATTGCTCAAACTGCGTTTTTTAATTTCCGTACTTTTTTTTGGGAGTCGATACGAAAAGCAGAATTTTTTTTCGTACTCCTCTCAATTTTTTTTCCAGTTTTCGTACTTTTTTACAGGGCATAGTATGTGATGTCCAATGTTTGCCTATGATCAGAACTTGTCTTTCTCGTGTTCATATTTCAATCTCTGGTCTAGACATATATCACATCAAATATCATATTTGATTATTTACAATTGTTTAGAAGATTTTACTAGTACAAGCATAATGTTTTGTGCAAAGTACAATTTCACTGTGTTAATTTATAAAACTTGATTTTTATTACATATGCAATTAGGCATCTTTTTTAAAATAGAGTTTTGAAGATAAGCATATATGATAATGATATGTAATTGTTATTGTAAGTACAATTATTGTTATAAATTTACTCAATTATCATAGATGATGAAATAAATATTTTATTATATAAAAAAGAGTGTTTATTCATTATAAATAGGGTTCCTTTAAGCAAATATTTTATTTGCAACAGGTAAACCCTATATTTGCATGTTTGAAATAATGAGATCAAATATTTGAATGCAATCAATAAATTTGCTGCAAAATTATAATCTCAAGCATGCGCTATTTTGAAGTAATAATGAATTCGAGAGCTTTTTCACCATGATCTTTCAGAAAATGAAAGAACATAGAAAAACTGCCCTTTATAGAGATGCCCTGACTTCAACAAGAGTCAGAGCCTGTATCTGTATGTCTTTCAGGGCCGAGATAAGAGGATATTGTCAATGATGTGGGTGATCTCCCCAAACTCGGCCCTGAGGATTAGCATTACAGGCTCTGACACATGTTGAGGCCAGAAATTCGGGTTTGCTGTTTATCAGGGTCGGATTCCTCTCCTGTCGCCCTAGATCAGGACGGCATTTGGGAAATCCGGCCCTGAGGACTGTAAGTGAGGCCCTGGTCTCTGCTGAGGCCAGAGCCTATGTGTGTAGGTCTTTCAGGGTCGAGTTTTGACAAGAACGTCCATCAAATGGACATTTGTGTCAAAACTCGGCCCTGAGGATTGTATTTGCAGGCTCTGACCTTTACTGGGGCCAGAGATTCGTTTGGTAAGTAACCCAGGGCCAGATTCCTCGCCTGTCGCCCGGGATCAGAGCGGCATTTGGGAAAGACGGCCCTAGGGACTGTAAGCGAAGCTCTGGCCTTTTCTGAGGCCAGAACCTGTGTATTTCTTTCTTTCAGGGCCGAGATGAGAAGAGATCGTCAATAATGTTGACGATCTCCCTCAAATTCGGCCCGGAGGATTGTATTTGCAGGCTCTGACCACTGATAAGGCCAGAGCTTCGTATGGGCACTTTCTCGGGACTGGATTCCTCTCCGGCCGCCCCGAATCATGGCGGTCTTTGAGGAAACCGGCCCCGAGGATTGTTTGCGAAGCTCTGGCATTTCCTGAGGCCAGAGCTTGTGAATTTCATTCAGAGCCAAGTTCCTCTCGGATCGAACATAATGAGGACGACCGTCGAGGAACTTGGCTCTGAGGAGGTCAATTGTGAGCTCTGGCCTCGATGAAGGCCAGAGTTTTCAAGGGAATGTTTTGATGGGATGAGTCTATTATCAGTAAGCTCGTCCCATCAAAACATTCATTTAAAAAATTGAATGAATAATTATCGTATGAATTCAAAAATTAAAAATATAAAGATGAATAAAATTATAATACATTTGAAATAGAATTAAATTATATTGAAATTGAATAAAAATTTCCAAAAAAAATTAAAAAAGTGAAAATGAATAAAAATATAAAATTTGATAAGAAAAAACGATTTGAGTTAAAAAACATATTGACAAAACATGAATATTTATGATTTAGATTAAATTGTGAATAAAATTTACTAGTTAAAAGAAGAATGAGAAAATAAAAATATATTATAAAGAAGAAACTTTAGAAAGGAGTTTACGATTGCAATATTATATGGTATAACATTGTACTCTTAACCTCCTTTCGAGAATCAAATTTCTAAAGCAAAATAGAGATATGAAAAAATAAGCTTTCATCGAAAGAGGTTTATAATTGCAATATAATATGACAGTATATTGCAATTGTAAACTCATTTCGAGAATCGAATATCGAATGTCACATTGCGGAACAAAAGTGAGAGATTCTCCCGATTTGAGTACGTACTTGCAGAGTGCCATTGCAAGACCCTGCAAATATGTACTCAGATCGGAAACTTTGTTCCCAATGTCACATTGCGGAACAAAAGTGAGAGATTCTCCCGATTTGAGTACGTAATTGCAGGGACATATAGATATAATATGCAACAAAAACATTTATCAACTTATTCACACTCATATTATTATTTTCATCCTTCAATTTTGATCATATTTCATATTTCTGAGCCAACATAGAGATCCCAGTCATAATAATAAAGAATACCAATTGTAACCATAATAAAACACAATTTTTTAAAAGATATAATTATTCAACTTCCTGTGATACGCTATTTTGATAAGATTTCGTAAATTAATGTAAAACAAGCATAGATCTATCATGAACAATCATACGATAGTAAATATGTTGCTTCCATGCTAAATTCAATTGAGATTATCTTGACATTAAACTTAGAATCCTCTCAAATTCAAGGAGATAATCACAATACAGCTATATTTTAATGCTGCTGTATAGCGGAAGCTCTATCATTATTATAAACTAATAATACCATATGAGTACGAAAACTGGAAAAAAATTGAGAGGGTGTACGAAAAAAAAAGTCTGCTTTTCCATCATGTAAACCTCGATGTCACTTTTGCGGCCTCGCTCCGCTCGGCCGCAAAAGTGACATCGAGGTTTACATGGATGGGTTCTATATATATACAGCTTGACCGGTAGAAAAGCGGATCGATTTTTATCAATAATTGGACATTCTATTTTTAATAAAATAAACATATATTTATATGGGAAATTAGGGAGATCTGAAACTCAAAAATTATTTTTGAATTTTAATATGATGAATGTAATTGTGATAATATGTACATTACAAATAAAATATTAATTCGGAACAACGATGAGATGTGATAAATTTGATTCTCTCAAAAATCAATTTTGGAGTTTTAATATTAATTTGTATCTTATATGCATATAGGATATATAATAATTTTAAAACATCAAAAAGTGACAATTTGCGGTTAGAAAAAGTCATCAAAACACTTTTTAATGATTTGATTTAACATATGCATAGACCATCTCTTTGATATTTAACTTCAATTTCCCGAAATGAAAAGGATTTGAACAAAAACAATTATTTTACGATCATTTTTTGTAAATTTTTTAAATTGAGACTGACATCTCTAAAATCATCTAAAAAATCCAAATATCAAATAAAATAATATCATTAAAATTCCTCTCAATTTAAAAAATTTTTATAAATTGAGACTTCAATATCTAAAATCTTCTAAAAAATCCATATATCACAAAAAATCACGATATTATTTTTATTCTCAATTTCAAAAATTTTTTTGTACTGACTTTCTTTTTGCATAATAGCATGGCAGAAATTTGAAACGAAGTTTCAAATTTCTCAATCTTGCATTCTGGGCACTTACGTGCCCAGAATGCTAAAAGGCGCGTAGCGCCGTCTCTGAATATCAAATTTATTATAATTTATGAAATTTCAAATAAAATTTATGAAATTTCAAATAAAATCGATCTGTTATAACACACTGGTGCATGACAGCCTTGTCATTTAATTCTATCAGCGCGAAGCGCCGATAGAATTAAGACAGTATATATATTAAGGATGTTACAAAGACTTTGCGGATATTTATTCTGCAATAAATTAGATTCTTATTTTTATATTTTTTATGACTTATTTTTGATAGTTTTCGTTCAGAAATTTTAATCATATTTTAAGTAAACATATATTAGTATTCTTCATTATTTGGTTGGCGCAAAGCGCCAACCAAATAGTGAATAATTCAATTTTTCAAAAAATTATTTAATTTGGCCGAAGGTGGCGTGCTTGCCCGAAGGGCAAGCGAAGCCACCTGAGGTCCCAAATTATATTTGATCAAATATATATCTTCACACTGCAGATCAATAAATCACATGATATGCTTGTCATATCGTTTCTTTTTTTGGCGACCTTACAAATGTGAAGAGAAAAAAAATATAATGCACGTATTATATCTCATCAGATTGTTTGAGAGATCACATTTATAAAAAAACTACGCTAAAATTATATATATGGCTCTTTATTTTCTTGAATTAAATGAAGAAAAAGCAATATTCTTATGATATGTTCTTAATAAAATATAATTATTTGATTAGATTACTTTTCCCAAACGGAGTTTAGAAAATCTCGAGTAGGGGTAATTTTAGCTAAAAGTGACACACTTGTAAAAAGTGACACACCCGTGAAGGGTGTGATGACCGATCGGTAATTTCGACAGTTTAGAATTTAAAATTTTTTATGGAACTGTTGCGAGTTTCATAAAGAATTTAAGGAATATAAGCAAAGATTTGAATCAAAATCTTAGACCTAAGCCGCTCGATTCGCTCGCGGCTTCCGCGAATTACAGATCAGCAAAGATTTGAATCAAAATCTTCGAACTAAGCCGATCGCTTCGCTCGCGGCTTTCTTTATTATTTTAAATTTGCATATTTCCATCAAAAGTTCATAAGGTAAAAAATTTCGTTTATTTTTACTAAGAAAAAAAAGGTTTTTGATAATAAATTTATTTTATTTCGAAAAAGTAGCAATAATCGTAAAAGGGTATTGATAGGCTTGCTAAAGTAACTAATTTTAGCTGTCAAATACTTTTGTATTTTGAAGTAAATTAGTATAAATTTGTTTTTACTTTTATTTCGAAAAAGTAACAATAATCGTAAAAGGGTATTGATAGGCTTGCTAAAGTAACTAATTTTAGCTGTCAAATACTTTTGTATTTTGAAGTAAATTAGTATAAATTTGTTTTTACTTTTATTTCGAAAAAGTAACAATAATCGTAAAAGGGTATTGATAGGCTTGCTAAAGTAACTAATTTTAGCTGTCAAATACTTTTGTATTTTGAAGTAAATTAGTATAAATTTGATATTATTTTAACTCCCTTTGAAAACCTCAATTTTCCATACAGAGGGAACGGGAATAGCATCCAATATTCCCTGAGAATGGTTGCGCATTCTCAGTTCCCTCTATATTTCGAACGAAGCTCTCATCGGTCTTTTTTTTTAATACTAAACGTTTTTTTCCCCTGTCACTTTTAGCTAAAATTTGGGTTTGCCAGAAAATCTCTTACCTTACCATATGATTCTAAGAGTGCAGTATTTCCGTTATTATTCTTTGCATCTTTATTAACATCAACAGCGATGAGATATTTAACAACATCAAGTTTATTAAACCTTGATGCTATAATGAGTGGAGTATTTCCATTTTTATCCTTTGCTTCTTTATTAGCTTTAATGGAAATGAAAAATTTAACAATTTCAAGATGACCATGTCTTGATGCTTCAAAGAGTGAAGTTTCATCAGCAATAGTCTTTGCTTCTTTATTAACTCCTGACGAGATAAGATATTTCACAACTTCAAGATGACCGTTTCTTGAGGCATAAATGAGTGGAGTAAATCCATAATCAGACTTTGCTTCTTTATCTGCCTTAACTGAGATAAGATATTTAACAGCTTCAAGATGACCATTAGCTGATGCATACATGAGTGGAGTATCCCCACTAAAACTCCTTGTTTCTTTATCGCAGTTGCTTTCGATGAGAGATTTGATAAGTCTAAGATTTCCTTTTTCACTTGCAAAATGAAGAACATTTCTTTCATCATCTGTTGTCTTTTTCCAAAGTCCTTCTTCACAAGCTTTTGACATAATTTGGTGATTTCCTTTTGAAGAAAGATCATCGAGGTATTTGTAAACACTATCAAAATCACCGGATCTTTTAAGTTCAGAGATTTTGGTCAAAAATTCTCTTGGGAAGTTGTAATTTTCATTGGAAGAATTTTGTGGTTGATTTTGTAAAGTTTTTATTTCTGCTTGAAGTTTTTTGATTTCTTCTGTAAAATCACGAAATTCTTTGTCTTTTTGTTTAATAAAATCAACGATTCCACCAAATATATTGAATTTCATGTACTTTTTGACAGATTTAAGAATCGAAACAACTTCTTCGAAGTTTTGGATAGTAACATTGACATTTCGTGTACATGTATATAATTTACTTGCGTTAATAGTTGGATGGGACTGCTTGAGAAGAGAAACGTACTCATCAGCCGTCAAATGTGAATATTTCATGATTGCTTTGATATCTTCTATTTCGAATGTATCGAAAAAGTTTTCGTTTTTAATATAATCACCGATATGAGCAGCAATATATTCGAAATTCAGATCCATGACCGAATTCTCTTTTTTTGAAAAGTCGTAACTTTACAAAAAAATCGGAAATTTATTAAAATCGAAATTTAGATTAGTAAATGATATCATTATTAAATATGTTATTAAAATATATCAATCAAATTTCATTTCAACATATTTTTTGATGAAAATATAAATTTGTAAGCTATGAATTAGGAACTTCTACGCGTAAATTGTGAATTATCCCTTTGCTATATCCAATTTAACATAGAATATACCAAATATAACACAAGGTCAATTATATTCGGGCTTTTTCTAATTGGAATAAATTAGAAATCTCTTTATTTTCTTGAATTAGATGAAGAGGGAAAGAACTTTTGATTAGATTACTTTGCTTTAACAAATTTTAGATATTTTATTACGTTAACACTTGCAAGTGAGCGTGCAGTGCTTCCATCATTAGTCGTTGCTTGTTTATTAGCTCCAATAGAGATAAGATATTTAACAACTTCAAGATGACCACAAACTGATGCATGAATAAGTGGAGTCCATCCATCATTATCTTTTGCTTCTTTATTAGCACCTATAGAGATAAGATACTTAATAATATCTAGATTATCATGATATGTTGCACGAATAAGTGGAGTCCATCCATCATCATCTTTTGCTTCTTTATTAGCACCAATAGAGATAAGATATTTAATAACATCTAGATTATTCCGTTTTGTTGCATGAATAAGTGGAGTCCATCCATCATTATCTTTTGCTTCTTTATTAGCACCAACAGAGATAAGATACTTAATAATATCTAGATTATCATGATGTGAAGCATAAATGAGTGGAGTCCATCCATATTTATCCTTTGCTTCTTTATCAGCTCCAGCAGAAATAAGATATTTAATAACTTAAAGATGACCTTTTTCTGATGCAAAAATGAGTGGTGTATATCCATAATTAGCCTTTGATTCTTTATCGCAGTTGCTTTCGATGAGAGATTTGATAAGTCTAAGATTTCCTTTTTCACTTGCAAAATGAAGAACATTTCTTTCATCATCTGTTGTCTTTTTCCAAAGTCCTTCTTCACAAGCTTTTGACATAATTTGGTGATTTCCTTTTGAAGAAAGATCATCGAGGTATTTGTAAACACTATCAAAATCACTGGATCTTTTAAGTCTGGTTAAAATATCTTGCGGATTGTTGTCATTTTCATTAATTCGAGTAACTGTAGTTTCTTTGGCAGAATTTTTGTGGTTGATTTTGTAAAGTTTTTATTTCTGCTTGAAGTTTTTTGATTTCTTCTGTAAAATCACGAAATTCTTTGTCTTTTTGTTTAATAAAATCAACGATTCCACCAAATATATTGAATTTCATGTACTTTTTGACAGATTTAAGAATCGAAACAACTTCTTCGAAGTTTTGGATAGTAACATTGACATTTCGTGTACATGTATATAATTTACTTGCGTTAATAGTTGGATGGGACTGCTTGAGAAGAGAAACGTACTCATCAGCCGTCAAATGTGAATATTTCATGATTGCTTTGATATCTTCTATTTCGAATGTATCGAAAAAGTTTTCGTTTTTAATATAATCACCGATATGAGCAGCAATATATTCGAAATTCAGATCCATTGCCTGATTTGCTTTTTTTGAAATTTAACAGTGTAATGTAACAATCTTTTATGAAGAAATTGTGATATTATAATATGATAGTTTGTCAAAAATAGCAAAAAAATATATTGTTAAATTTAAAACTGCATTATTTTCTTATAAAAAACAAAAGAATTGTTATTTTTAACGAGTATCATTACATAATTTGTTATTAAAATCGAAAATTATTTTGTTACATTTTTAGAAGGGAGGAAAAAAACGAGCAAAATTTACAAAATAGATATGAGTAAGACTAGAACACGCAATTCTTATTCATCTGGATATACAATGGTTGATATCCTTGGCAACGAAGATCTATTTCCTGATGAAGGATATGAATTTCCTCCTCATCCACCAAAACAGTCAACAAGAGATCGCTATGTTTCAGTAGATTTCCCACTTAATACGACAATCAACACAACAGCTATTCTTACTCAAAAACCATTAGAGCCACCACAGCCCTTTATTGATAAGCCAGTTCCAAAGGTAAAAGACCATCGCAGGCGTCTTATTTATGAGACAACAATCTCAGGTCTTAAAAAGCAGATAGAGTACAACACACTTCTCAAGGAATACAACCGTGAGAAGCGTGAACAAGAAAAGGAACAAGAAGCTTATCAATTAAAGATCGCAAGAGAAGCTGTTCAAAAGGAAGAAGAACGTCATCTCGGTGACAAAGCAAAGCTTCGTGAGAACTACGAGGAGCAGATCCGTGCTCATAAAGCAGAGCAAGAGAAGCTTCGCCAAGAAGAATTACAAGAAGTTGAGAACATGAAGAAGGCCAATGAGAGCGAACGCCTCAAAGATCTTCTCAAGGAAGAGAAAGATAAAGCTGTACGTCAAACATTCCGCGAAGAATTCCTGAAAAGAAATCAAATGCTTCAAGAAATGAAAGCAACACGTCATCAACGCCAGAAAGAGGAAGAAAAGGAAATACAGCGCCAAGCAGCAAGCATGGCAGAGATTGAAGAAGCCAGAGCAAAGCGCGAAGAAGAAGTCAGATTAGAAAAAACTCGTAGACGCGCTATTGTCGTTGAAATGCAAGCCAAAGCACTTGCTCAGCAGAAGCAGAAGATAGATGACTTCCAGGAGAAGGCAGAAAGCCAAGCAGCTCTAAATGGAGAAAAAGAACGTCAAGAAATGGAACAAAGGAAGGTCAAACAAGCAGAAGAGAGAAAGAAAGAGTGGCAGAACCTCGCAAAAGAGAACGCTGCTAAGAATAAACTCAAAACAAAGAGACCTTTCCCAGCAAGAATCGATGATTTCGACGAAGAAAAATTCAACGAAGAACAAGCGAAAAGAGAAAGAGAATACTACAAGACAGTGCAGATGAAACAAGCTGCAGATAGAAAACAGCGCGAAAAAGAAGAAATTGAAATGGATATCGAAATGGAAAAGAAGAATTTAGAAATGACTACTACGCAGTTCAACCAGAGCTTAAAGAAGCTCCAGGACAGTGTTCCTGCTGAACTCGGAATCAAAGTTCCTCAATACAAACCTTCACTTAAGATTACAGGTATGGTGTAAGATTGTTTTTGTTGTTTTGTAATTGTTTGTTTATAATTTTTGCATTTCTGTCCTTATTTTAGATATTGAATATCTTGATTTTGGTTTTATTATTTATTTTGAATAAAGTTTTATCATATAATCTAATGTAAATTATTTTGTTACATGATGTCATGAAAAAATGATGATTTGAAGAGAAAATGTTTTGGAATTTTGTGTTTTTTTCTTCAGTAGAGTCAATATTCAACTAAAAACTCTATTATGTACAATATACTTACTTCAATGATGCTTTGATTCTGATTCATGTATCAATTAATTCACCACAAATACAAAAAACAATGAATCATGCATCAATTAAGAGTGCATTCATTACTTTTTGATATAACATGGTCACAGCATAATTCAAGGTATGAAAATTCATCTTGGGATTCTGGAAATAAATCATATTTGAGTTATCTATCTTTACCATAATGATTCACTTTCAATAATTACCAAGGATTCTTTGATCCAGATATTAATTCAATGGAGCAGTTGATATTTATAACTATTCTTATAATAATTTGTCAATTCTTAGTTAAATGTTAAGTGCTTTCTCTACATCAGTTTGAGGTAAATTTAGGAATATGGCTGACATTTAGCCAATTTGAAGTTTACAATTTGAGATGGAGAAGATTTTTCTTCATACAGGATCCTTAATTAAAGGTTTCAAGATATAAATAAAAGAATATTTTTAATTAAAAGCTTAACTAAACAAATAAAAATTATTAATTTGTTTCAATAATTCTTAATAATGTATCTTCTAATTGTTCCACAGTAAAAGTATATCTTTCAATACCCAATTTCTCTTCATTATCATCCAAATAAGTTAATAAATCCGAAATATCGCTAGTAACAGGCACCATGACTGTATCTTCTCTTTCTTCATTCAAAACAGCTTCAGGAGCGAATTTCTTGATTTCTTCAAATATATTTGGCATTTTTTCTGGATCACAAACAAAGCTTATATTATAACCACATTTGAATTTGTTTCTTAATTCAGTAGAAGTACCAATGAAAGGCACTTTTCCTCTTGAAACAACAAAAATTCTTGATGAAACAGCTTCAGCTTCTTCTAAAGCATGTGTTGTTATAATGCAAGTAGAATTCTTTAAATTAGAAATAGATTTCCAAATTAATTGTCTTGCTTGAACATCAACACCTGCTGTAGGTTCATCCATCATTATAATTGGTGGATTTCCTAACAAAGACATTGCAATACATAGTTTCCTCTTCTGGCCACCACTTAAATCCCCTGCTCTGTTTGGCAACATTTCTTTTAATTGCAAATTATCACAAAAGAAATCAATACTGTCTTGTAATGTTTGTTTATCCAAACCTCTTCTACGACCAAATATTTCTAAATGTTCTCTAATAGATAAATGTCTATAAATAACATTATCTTGAAAAACAATACCCAAATTCTTATTAACTTTTGTATTATCATTACCTTCTAAATGAACTTTTCCTTGTGTTAAAGGAATTGAGCCACTTAAAACATTTAAAATTGATGATTTTCCTGCACGATTTGGACCAATCATAACAATGATTTCTCCTTTAGATACAGAAAATGAAATATCATCAATAGCATTAACATCACTCTTAGGATATCTTTTAACTACATTTTCTGCTAAAATTATTTGATCTTTTTCTAAATCTTGCAATTCAGTTTTTTCAGAAGAAACTTTTCGATTCTTTCTAAACAGATTTTTGAGTTTAATTGGTTGATTACCAAATCCACGATCCAAAACAGCATTAAAGAACAAAAACAACAAACCCCATAATACAAAATCAATTGATAACCACATAAATGAATAATAAATAGGATATTTGTATTTTTCTGAACTGACATCTTTCCATTGTATTGCAGGTCTATTTAATCTCACTTCTTCATACATAACAGCTATAGACAATTGCCATGACACGAAAGGAATCAATGAGAAAATGTGTTTAACAGCTGTTGGACTTGTTAATGTATAAACTGAATTCAAATACGAAAAGAACATGCACAAAATCAAAAATATAATAGTTAATATTCTTGCTCCAGCAGCTTTGTTAAAGAATGTACTAAAGAAATTCTGGAATTGTGTGTAAGCCAAGATAAATATCAATGACAAAACAAACAACAAAGTAAAATCTGTGCCTGCCATACAAAGCCAAAATGCAAATAATAAATCAATGACTAAATATGGAATAAAACACATCAAAAATGTTGAAACAATATTAACAATCCAATATGATGTTTCTGAAGCACCCATCATATAAATAAATGTCATCATGTGTGACTCTTTATCATTTAAAATCAATGATAAATCAGGTAAAGAAGCAATGACAATAGGAATAGATGCAAATAATGATACAACCATGTCAATTGGCATCTGATTTGTGACTTTTGGTCGTTGCATTTTGGTTGTCCTGATGTTTGGTGGGTTAAATCCTTTCGATGGATCACCATTAGGCTTGAATTGTATGTATTGTTTCATTGCTGCCTTAGTTTGGTCATCTAAACCTGACATTGAATCAATATAATTTGAAATGTTTTGGTTTAATACGTAATTCAGGCCTTTGATTGCTTGGCCAGTTGAGTTAAATGCTAAAACAGCCATAAAGTCAACATTTATGTGATAGGTATAAAAATTTGTTTGTGATTCAAAAATATGAGAAGTTAAATTTGAATAAAATGTCTTGTCATCGTGATTATCCCACTATATACCAACAGAAAAGGCTTCTTTTGAGTCAAAGTCCTTGCTAAAGTCGTCATATGAATCAAGCCATGTAAATGTTTCAGATACGTTAACTAATCGTTCTGTACTTGCATTGATGTCTTTAGTTTCTTCGTATTTTCGGTAGTTTAGGACTGGAAGTTTCATATATCCCCAAGTATTTCCAATTAACGATCTTAAGATCGAAGAATTCGAGGGACCAGCAACGTAATTGCCACCTTTACTCATAGTGACCATTTGGTTGTACAACAAAACAATGTTTCCGAATAATTCTGAAGAATTTTAAAAATCTGTCGTTGTAATTGGATCATGAGGGTTATCGGCGAAGTTCCAGAATACAGCAAGAATGCAAATGATAACAGTTGCAATGATTTCGGAAGCAATAACACCTTTATCCCTAATTTTGCTTAAAAAAGACCTTCTAAAGAGCGATCGTACCTCTGTGGAAAACGTGGGATGTCTACTGTCCCATGCACCACCAGTAACTAGAGTTTTCTTATCTTCATGCGGTTCCATTTCAATTTCTGGCTAAGTCTATTCAATTTTGCCGATTATAAAATTTTTCAATTCCATTCAAAGTGACTATGATCAACAATTTTTATTTAAAATTTATAATCAGTACATTATGAATATCTTTTAAAATTTTTGGTCGTAAAACATTCAAAAGTTTTAATGGGTGAAAGTCTACCGTTTGTGATTGATGATGACTCAGAGTCCCAACAATCGAAACCTCGTCATACTAAGACCAAAGTAAGTGATATTTTGCAAAATGCTGACGATAATGAGCAAGAAATAAATAAATCTCAGCGAAGAGGTGCGCAGTTCAAGGCTTTGTTCTATCGCAGATGGATCGGCATCAAAAGATCAATTGTTGCAGTTATAATTAACATATTAATTACTTTAGTTGTTTCTTGTTTGGCAATTATTGTTATGATACTAATGGATATTAGTAGTCCAGATGATCATTATGTATTTGGATACGAGAATATTAGCGTTCACCTTACAGGCAATAGTTGGGGTGGATTAGCTTTAAACAATGGTACGCTCAGATCATATATTAATGGTTGTATTAATCATCAAAATTGGCATTATAGCATTGGAGCATACGGAGTAGAAAAAGGAATCCCCGGCCCATATTATTTGAAATTTGTTGCCCTTTATGCCAAAATCAATAGCTTAGACATGATAACATGCATTTCATGCAAAATTTGTCGAAAAATTTTCTTAAATCCGAATATCTTTTTGTTTGTATTCATATTAGTGTAAATATATATTCGTTTCTATCAAAATTCTTATTGTATCCATAATCATGAATTTTTAAAAGAATTGGAAACCATGTATCATATTCCAATTAAAAGGGGAATTCTTTTTTCTTAACATAGAATTTTGCTCATCTTGAGCGATCTTTTTCGTTTAATTTTCATAAGATGATAAAATATCTACATTGTCAAGTAAAATACATATTCTTTAGAAGATCATAATATATCTTGAAATCAAATGGAAGTCATTCGATGTACCCACACACACAATATCTATGCTTCATATGTTCAGCACAAATTTGGTCGATGTATATATTGTTGATGAAGTTCTTTTTTTTTCCAATTGATAATTATCTGTGTTCTCTGTATATATCATATATTATCTATTTGATTAAAATTAAAAATTTATTCAAACAAAAAAAAACAAGGTTTTAAATATAGTTTGCAAAATCACTAACAACATTACTATGATTTGACTTTGTGTTAAGCCACAAGTCCTTTTAATTGAAGTATCATCTTTGAATTAAGTTCCTTCAAAGAAATCAGCATTCATCTTTTTAAGACTCTTGTGGAATTTATGGATTTCTGGCTTTCCATCCTGCATTGATTCGTATTCATCCATAATAATCCTGAAACTTTTGATATAATCATTATTCTTCATTATTGTCGTAATAATAAGTGAACAGTTCTCATAAATAAGTGCTGAATTCCAAAGTAAAGCGATTGCTGAAATTGTAGAAGTAGGATTGATTTGATCTATGATGAAATTATACATATCATCTACTATTATGCATGATAGTTGTTTATCTGTGAATAAATGTCGCTCACTCGCTGCATGAACTAATTCTGATTTATTTGAAATACATTTGAAAAGAAATCTATCGGCTAGTTCGCTTTTATTTGGTATATTTGGTGTTTTCCTTATAAATTTGGCACAATTTGTTAAAACAAGGCAAAATGAATTTGGATTATTAAGTAAAATTTCACTTGCAATCTGAAAAGCACGTGTTGTTTTGCCACTCTTTGGCTTACCACATATCAGAACATTGCGAGGTTTATGTTCTTCCATCAAAAAAAAATATAAATATTGAAAAGTGACAAAAGGAACTTCACTTTCATTTATCAAACATAAGTTTATTTATAAAAGATTCATATAATACAGAATGTGTTGGATTAAAACAGCGGTTTAATATAACATAAAACAATAGAACCTTAACAGCATTTCTTCTTTTCTTCGTTTGGAGTACTTTCGATGGTTTTGACACCACCATCATCTCCTTCCTGCTTCGTCTTAAAGAAGTCATAGCCAACGTTGGCTGCTTGTAAAAACATTGAATCAACATTTTCGCCTGTTGAAGCAGAAATGTAAAAAATGGCTTTGAATTGTGAACTAAACTCGCGTTCTATCTCATCAGTTTGGTATGGATTTTCATCGCATTTATCAATTTTATTAACCGCCAAAATGAACGGTGTTTCTGACTCGATTGATGCTAAAGCTGTATTGATCCAGTCTTTTATATGGGTAAACGAAGCTGGATCATCAATTGCTGCAACAACAATAACAGCGCATGAATTTCTTGCGTACATTGGCATAAGAGATCTAAATTGCTCTTGTCCGGCAGTATCCCATATGAATAAATCAACTTTTCCTTCTCTTAGTTCAACAATTTTTCTTTGATGATTTGTTCCAACAGTTTGTTTGAGATTTTGATAAAATTTTCCTGTCATCCATCTTGTTAAGCATGTGGTTTTTCCGACTCCAGAATCTCCGAGCAGGACAATTTTAATTGATGGTGCATCGGTTTCTGATTGCTCATCCATTTTTTTTTACTGAAAATTGAATGGAATCATATTAGTTATAACTATCATATTAGAAATTATAATTTTGTTTGCAGTATATTATCCACAATAACTTGTACTTGAATGTGGTTAGTTCTAAATCAATTTTCACATACCGGCAATAATTCATATGCAATATGCTCTCATAGAGTTTGTTTTTTCTGAGAAATTACTCTCCTCAAACAATACTCATCGATTTATTCCCTAACGCAGAATTCGAAAATTGATCAATAAATAATTGACTGAAGTATGTGAAATCTAAATGCTCATATATAATATATATGAAAAATTAATTACTGAGCTGTCAATTTGATAATAATATAAATTTAGAAAAATCTAATTCCGTTAGTAACGTCTTTAGACAGTTTCAATTGTTTAATGACAATTACATAAAGGTCAACTTAATTCGAATGTGACTGTGAAGAATGTAAAATTTATGAAATTATGCTCTTTAAAAATACCATGATATTAAGTCCCAGAAGCCTTTTTGTGATCATTAGAATCTTAACGTCATTTTTCCGCTATTCTTTAAAAAACACATCAAATTTGAAAGCAAAATTCAAAACTTCAGAATTCGTCATAATCCAAAATGCTGAATGGAACAATGTACAAGGACTACATTCCATATTCACATGTAGCAACTACAGCGAACAGCCAAGTGTTTCTTGCTACTAAGGTCAATGACTCCTCATTTAAAACTTACATAATGAAAATAGTTCAGAGAACCCACAGAAATCCAAAGGCTATCAGTAACTTAGAAGGAGAGATCAGAATTATGCAGAAAATTGATCATCCAAGTATTATCAAACTCCTAGATGTAATTTATGATCAGGATGAAGTTACATTAGTTATTGAATATGGTGAAAATGGAGATCTTGTTAAGTATCTCAATGAGAAGGGTGTAATCGATCTCAATACTACTCTCAGCATTATGCGAGATATCTTTGACGCAATTGCATACCTTCATGCAAGAAACATCGCTCACAGGGACATCAAGCTGGAAAATATTGTGATTACAGCTGAAGGTAAACCAAAACTTATTGATTTGGGACTTTCCAAAGAATATATCAATAATGAAAATCCAAATAATGAACCTCTCCAAGAACGATCAGGCAAAATACTCAAAACTACATTCTGTGGCACATATGAATACATGGCCCCCGAATTATTTGAAAAGCATGTTTTCTATGATCCATTTGCAGCTGATGTTTGGGCAGCTGGAATGTGCCTATATGTTCTTTATAATGGTTTCTTCCCTTGGGTTGACTCAGAGTTCGGTGCACTTGATCAAATCAGAAGAACCAAGATTTCAATTCCGAAGACATGGCCGGCAATAATTAGAAGAGTCGTTTCCATGTCATTAGAAATTGACCCATGCAAAAGAGCAAAAGCCAAAGATATTCTAAATGAAATGGATAACTTCATGAACAACAAAGAAATTCCAATGCCGAAGTTATTCAGCAATGAAGTTTGCAAATCATCACCTGCAGTTCTTCAGCAGAAATCCAAAGCTTCCCCAATTAGAAAGAGAAAGATCATTGTACCAAACATTCTCAAAATGATGCCACCTAAGTACTCTGATTCAAAGGGCAATGATTCTATTCTTTGTATAATGAAATAATTTTCCTTTCTCAACTAAAAGTTTAAATATTTTTTCAAATTATTTGCACATATAAAATTGATACTTCATATTTTCAATGCATTCATATGTGATATTATGGATTTTGATTTACTGTTCATGTTTTGCACTCTCATGAAGATCTTGAAGATTTTGAAAAATCATAGTGGTAGTAATCACCTCAATGCATTAATAAAGGATTTTCAACTTGATAGAGATGATCCTGATCGGTCACATGTTAGTGAGAATAGTCAATTGTCTCCTTGGTCATGACCTTCTTCAATTATAGATGATATATAATAGGAACCTGCTATATTTGGGCATGTCATATCGTGTCGTTCGTATAATTCCTATTGAAACTCGATATCCGAACTCAAAATTTTGGATTTTGTAAATCATTCAAACCATTACAATTTTCAATTTTCGAAAGAAAAGAGTAATGGGTTGTGCGTCTTGTTTACCTCTTCAGCAGCCTTTATGGTACGAATACTATGGGCCGATCAGGCGTGTCGAAGCGGCAAATGCAATCAACGCGGCCATTGCAGATAATCTGAATTTTGATAATGCAATGACCCGTGTTCCAATTAGAAAAGTTACAGCTCCTCACATCAAGGTTCCTGGTGCATTAAACAAGCCAATTGTCGCAAATTTAACCGATACTACAGTAACAATTTCTTTTTCAACGAAAGCTGCAGGCACAATGACATTAAGTGCCAACGAATCATCTGAAGCACTTGAATTCGCAAATGCTCTAAATCAAACTCTTACATTCAACAGACCAACAGACGAACAATGGACTATCAAATTTGATTTCGAAGATGGAGAAGAAGTTTCATGCAGAATTATTAAACTCAACGCTAAAACACCATCAAGTCCAATTGTTGCAGATGATAAAATCGTTATTAATGGAAAAATTTCCACAATTAACAAAGTTTTCCGTGAAGAAGATGAAGGATCCGATGGTGGATTCAACGATGGCATGTGCCTTATTTGTTGCAGTGCAGAATCTACAGTTATTGCTTTTCCATGCAGACATTGCTGCATGTGCAGCGAATGTGCTGAGAGATTTGCAACGATGACAATACATTGTCCTGTTTGCAGAGCAATTGTTACGGAATTAATCGACTGCGCTCCAAATCAAGAACAAAATCCACCTCCACCACCGTAATCTCAACGGTTACTCTTAATGTCATTAATATATATACTAGCGACCTACTTTAGAATATGATTTGTCAATTTTATTTAATATTATAACTTAATTTTTAATTGTTTGATAATAAAAATTGCAATATTTGTTATAATGAATATTTTTGGTTTGTTTGAAATCTTTTCGCTTTGAGATTGAGAATTAAAAATTGAATTTGTAAATTGGATCGAAAACAAAGTCAGTTAATATAAAAATCCAGCTACAAACATTTTACCACTGCTCTCATACTTTATGAATCACTGGTAATAACTTAAATATTGCTCATAAAAAACTAATAACATAAAATTTATCAAACAAAAATTAAAATAACAAATAATAAATAACAATTATTTGAAGGCTTCTTCGTATCTGTGTTCGAAAGCGCTTTTGTTCCTTTGTAAAGAGAGAGGAGTATCAATAATTCTCTTTAATCTCTCGGGTTTCTCCTTTGGAATTGATCTTCTTGTAGTAGAAGCTTCTCTTGTCCTAGCTTCCTCTTCATCCATCATGATCTCTTCCTTAGATCTCTTATCTTCCTCGCCACAGGGCTTTGGCATGTAATAATAAGGATCTTTTCTGTAATGCAATTTGTTGAAGTCAGAAACTTGGTCACGAGGCTGTGTCTTCTTCCATTGATCATTTGAGTTGCAGTAAATGATATCAGGAGCTTCTGTCTTGTTGAGAATTTCGCGATTGTATTTATAAGCTCGTTGAGAAATGTCGAAACTTGTTGATGGTCTTTGCAAGTATTTGTAGCCTGTGTCAACATCATAAACAACGTCTGTTTCTTTCCTCATGAGGTGTGCAAATGGGCTGCGGTTATCGCGTGTTTGTTTTGCAAAGTCACCTGTCTTTTTCTTCTTTGGAATTTCGCGAGTTTTCTTTTGTTTCAACAAATTCTTGAGAATTTCTCTTTGTTCGTTTTCGATTTCCTGCCAAAGTGGATCTTCTTCTTTGACTCTCTTTTCTCTTGATGCCTGCTTGTCAAAAGAAATCTGTTGTGGCTCGCGTTTCCTGATTGCATCTAATGCAGAGCGAGTATCACGAATTGGCTTCTCCAATTTGTCGCTGTCGTCAATTCTTGAGACTTGTAAATGGAATGATGTTGCATTGTTATGCTTTGGATGCTTGATTGCGTAAGCAGAAGGTCCTGGAGTTTCTTCTCCAACAATGTATGAATCACGATTCGCAAAACGTGAATCTTGTGAAAACTTGTATGTGTTTGCGCCTTCAACTGTGCTCGGAGGTAATGGAGCGTAATCTAACGAATTTGATGATTTTTCTGCTTTTGTAAAATCGACGTTTCGAAGATGATCTGACCATGCTACAATCATTTCACTCATGGAACACTCATCAACATTTGATCTATCCAACTTAGAAGTACTATTTTTATCTTTCATCGAAACTGATGGAGATTTTGGTAGAATTGATGAGAATTTGGGCGAATAATGTGCAGCTCCTGGTTCGTTATCGAGGACTGAGATTGATTTTTTAACTTCTCTAACTTGTGGAATTTTTCTTTTTACAGGAGAAGCAACACCAGAAGATATAGTTCTTCTGCGTTTGTAAAATTTAGAATCTTTATCAATTAATCTGTTTACTACTTCTGGTAATCTGCCATTCCCCGCATTTCGTTTAGTTGATGTATCTAATGTTTTCACACTAGTAATCAAATGCTCTAAAGAATGATTGAACGATGCCGTTTCTGATTCAGAGAGGTTAACTCGCCCGAAATCAGATGGTCTCGTTGACATCCAAAAATTTGATATAAAACTGGTAAGATTTACCTGGCATTCACCTTAACTATTTGATGTTTTATATTAAAAATTGCTGGATCTTGAAATTAGAAAATAACAGTTTTTTCAAAAATTGGGATTCTTAATGAGCCTCTGATTGGATTAGGTATAACTGAAAGAAAAATGAGTAAATTATCAATCAAACAATAATATTCAAACATTTTATTTAGAATTAGATTTGTTTTTCCTAACATCATCAAAAAACTTATGATTAAGAGCATCTCGTGCTGTAATTCTGTATGTTGGATCTATCACTAGCATCAATCTAAGAAGATCAAAGAGATCATCATCTTTATATTCGTCGCGAACACGGCTTAGAATGGCATCGAACTGCCCAATAGATATTGATGAAAGAGCATTCAATAAATTCGTTGAAACTTCGAAGCCAATCTTATCTGCGAATTCTAATAAAGGAGATGCTGTGAAAACTCGACTAATCGAGCGTAATATATCTAATTGATAATCACCCTTGAATAACGGTTCTTCGTGTATCATTTCTGCGAGGATAACTCCAGCAGACCAAATATCAATTGCATAATTATAAAATCTGTACGACATTAGTATTTCTGGGGCCATAAACCTTATTGTACCAATACCTACTTCATATTGGTGGTATGGGAAGTATACTTCAGCTAATCCGAGATCGCCAAGATGTAAGTCTCCTGTTTTTGGATTGTAAAGAATGTTCTGTTGTTTCACATCTCTGTGCATTATACCGTGCGAGTGGCACTCATCTAGCGCAAGTAGTAATTTGTACATAAAGTTTTTTATATCGCTAATTTTCATTTTGGGAAAGAAATTTTTCCAATTTCCAGATTTATGGTATTCCAAAAGTAATGTAGTCGACTTTGATACAGGATCGCGTACAACATCATGTAATTGAACAATGTGCTCGCATTTTCGTAGTGCTTTATGCATAAAAATCTCTCGACGAATATAATTTGGACGTACATCTTTATAAACTTTCATTGCATAAACATGCTTTCCGTCTGTACCTTTAAAAACTGTTGAGAACTTGCCTGATCCGAGTATGCTACCTATTGAGTAATTATTAATATTACCTAATTTATACGTATAATGAGAATAAGGTGTGAAATAAGGATACAAATACTCTGACATATGGGTATAGACCTTAGGTAGTATAGCATCATATGTCACTTGTTGATTAGATATCGGAATTTCAGGATCACTCATAATTTTTTACCTCTTACAAAATTCTATCTCACAAAAAAATTACATTTCAGTAATTATTTATTGCTAGCTAATGCTGATTGAAATGAAAACGATTTCATTTTAAAATAAAAAAGTGACAAATAATGGGGTTCAAAAATATAAATAAACAGTTTAGTATCCAAAGAAATAAGAGGAACACTATAAAAAGATGATCGCTTTGAATGTGCATTACAAATGTTTCGGAAATGATGAAGTTTGCCGATTATCGAAAATAATTTGAAAAACGTTAGCTAAATAAGGCAAGTAAATTTGGTATAATAAACAAACAAGGATTTATTTATTCTTAAAGCATATAAGAGTGGCAACCATCAAAGGAGAAAATAGTAAAACATAATCAAGAGCTTTAAATGAATGATACTTTCTAATTAAAGCTTCGACATATGTTATTCTTGCTTCCAATTCAGCTACTTTTTTCTCGTTGTTTTCAATCTCTGCTATTTCTCCGTTTTCCATCTAAAATGTCACTTTTTATAATATTTTGAAGTTCATTATCTGAAGTGAATTCAGCTGTAACTCGAGCCTATGATAAGTCAAATCTTTTTTGTCCCTTTGAAACCTGAGGAAATCATTAATATAATAGAGCATTTCAATAAATTAGTATTCATTGAAAATCTTTATACGATAAAGAATGACTTACCACCCAACATTAGTTTCTCGAGTTAAATTTCTTTCAATTTCAATGTAATATTACCTTGGTTATGGTTTAATATCATTTTTGTGGAAATTTTCACAATTAATTGTAGTAAGTTCATTGAATCAAGAAGGAAACTCGATCTTGATAATAGGATGATACATCATTTGATAAATATTTTGAATATGAAGGCTGTCTATTTTTATATCTGATTTTGAATACATTTAGGTCTAGGAAACTATGTTATTAATTATAGTTATTCTAAATATAAATAGTCAGCGCCTAATTCTGCTGAAGAAGAGCTGTGAAAAAATTGAGTAATGTTTTTAGGTTGAAACTACGGCATATTCGATTGCATTATAGGAAATTGATTTTTGGGAATAAGGGTTTCGTTTTGCTAAAATTGTCACTTTTATAGCATATTTGTTTTTGGATGTTTTGCGAAACCAAAAAAAAAACTATGATATACAATGTGTGTGTAAAGAAAATACTTTATTTACTAGTTAAAAAATCATTTGGTATTGATCAAGTTTTTTTTTCTGGATAAGATATTATATGGATAATTGGATAGAAAATACAATTATATAATCTTGTACCTGGTTTAATTAAGCTAATTGTCATCAGAAACTTGTAATTTTTATGAATTTCAGATTTTCTTTTCATTACTGCTTTTTCTTAATAGGTCAAGTTTTATTTACGTTATAAAGTATGATATTTAAAATATCAAGTTATCATGTTTTTTTGAGAAATTATGAGAAACAAACAAAAATGAAAAAGATAGGAATAGCAATGAATAGTGATGTGGGTATAGAAAATGTAAGAGATATGAATGCAAAGCAATCAGTATTTAGGATATTGACCATAGATTTCGAAAAAAAAATGCTGCATATTGAGCGAAAACTATGATTATATTATAAGGCTGTCATTTAAAGCATAATGAAACTATTCCCTTTTCATTTTAATCGAATAAGATAGTAAAGATTTTTGAATTAGCTAGAAACTGATGAGATGTTTTCACAAATCAGATTTTTAATCTCTATAATGCATAATTCACTCAATATCTCAATTTTGATATTGCGAGATATTTTTGCTATCGGTTTAGCAATTTTGACACAATAGCAAGAGGGTTCTATAAGCATTATTATCAACGTCGAATCTGAATATCATATCAGAAAATGTCGCAAATCCGACATTTACCCGACCAAATAGCAAAAATAATTGAATACTTTTCGCAAAAACTTTAAAAATCGATAAAAATATGAAATATAGATATTAAAGAGACTTTTTATATAATATTCATAAAGATTTTCCAAAAATATGATACCGCAAAATTAAAAAAGTGACGTCTTGAGTGGAGTCAAAGGTCGAAATTGCTAGCTAAATGTTTTTTTAGCGAAATTGCGTATTGTACGTTTTTTTCGCAAAACGAAACCCTTATTGGGAATAACCATTTATAAATCGATCGCAAAAATTGAAACGAACAAATCATTTGAGACAAAAATGATCGGCCAGTTGATGATCATTCAATATCGAATGATTTTATATTATTTCATTATTGAAGCACTCTGATTTCTTATGATAAATTTACGAGAAAATACAACAAAAAAAATCAATTAAAAAATTAATTATTATTGAATATTAATTGCTATACTGATTACAGAATATAATTTTCTTCCATTGAAAAAATAAAAATTTTGAATCAAACTTTATTCTATAAAAAATGTTACTTTTTCTCTCTTCATTAGCTCTTGCAAAAAACATTATAATCATTGATGCGGGAAGTACAGGAAGTAGATTGTATATTTATACATACGATGACATCTACAATCTGTCATCCTACGATCAAATTCGCGATTCAGACGGGAAACCAGTTTCTATTAAGTCTTCAATACCATTATCCGACACATTAAATAATGAATCTAAACTCGTCGAATACTTCGATGTTTTGCTCGATAAAGGATCCCATAATTACATCGAAAAGACGATGAGATCAACAACTCCGCTTTATTTGTTTGCCTCTGGTGGGTTAAATTATATTGAGAGCGAAAAGGCTAGAAAAACCGTAATGAATGACGCATTCCAATACGTAAATCAAAAGTATCGTTATCTTGTGAAAGACAACTACTTCCAAATTGTTACTGGCAAGGAAGAAGCTGAGTTCGCATGGATTGCAGCTAATCATTTTCTTGGTGGCTTTGATTCAAATAATATCATGGGCGTAGCCGAAATTGGAGGCACACACGCACAGATTGCCTTTGGTGTATCTAAACCATCCTCTGATGCAAAGAAGTATGTCGAGTCAATCTCAGTAAATAAGAAGAAATACAAAGTTTTTAGGAACTCATGGAAAACTATGGAGATGTTGATGTCGAAAAATCAATTCTTCAGCATTTAAAGGATCAAAATAAAACAGAAAGCCCGTGCCATCTTATTGGTACTCCTGATATCGGAAAAGGCTTTGGTTTGAACACAGAATTCACAGACAAACCGAACTTTGATAAATGCATCGAATTAATTTCTACAGTCCATCAAAAATCATCAGATAATAAATGCGATTCCGACCCGTGTTTGTTTATGGACAAAAACGATGACAACGAGGATGTATGTGTCCCATACCCAGGAGGTCTTTCATACGCTGTTGTCTATGGTATGATGTCTTATAACCTTGAATACATGAATTACTCTACCGAAGTCTCAATCGACCAATATCTCGCCGATTCATACGCATATGGAAACAAAACTTACGAGCAGGCTAAGGCTTTGAACCCAACCTACGGCTACACTTCAAAAGTTTACTTCCAACAGTGCTTGACAGTCAGTTTCTTACAGCGCAGTACAAATGGCGAAATCAAGACATTACGCAGAGTTAACTCTACAAGGTGGGCTGGCCTTAAACTCGATTGGCCAATTGGTGCTGCAATTTATCTGCTTCTGTATATAGAGGCATGCCAGTTCATTTCATAATTATCATTGTCGGTCTTACATTATGCTGTGTCGTTATGGTATTCTTAGGTATTAAATGCATAATTGATAAGTTGAAGGAAAAGAGAAGGAGACTTAACGATGTAGAACTTAACGCTGAGACATAATGTATTACTTTTGCATAATAAAAAAACAAAATATCTTTCAATAAAAATTAAATTTTAATAAATAGCTTAAATAGGTAAATTATTTTTTTATATATATTTAGGAACGAATGATGATTTAATCGGAATATTTATAAGAATCTTCAGAATAAACAAAGAATGAACTTGAATCACTGGATGCATCAAGGTTTCTCATTGTCTTCCTGCGGCAGCATACTGTAAACATGACTGCAATGCATCCTATAACCATAATAAGACATGATATGAGCCAGAATGAGCCACCATTAACTAAATTAACGCAGAGGGCATTTCTAACTGGAACGTATATAGAGCAGACTTTATCACATTGTAATTTTTCAGATAATCCATCAACAACTACAACATTAAATTCAACAAAGAACTCATTCAAAAGATTTTGAGTTGTGTTTGTTGCATTCGCCATTTGAGGACTAATTTGACTTGACCTATTAATGGAATTCAATACATACTTGGTCATTTCATCCAACTTGTGCTTCAAACTACTGTTTAGTTTATTGAAATATTCATCAATCTTTCCATTTATTTCCGTTGTTTTGTTTGAACATTTCTCAGTCATCTTCTTTAATTCATCTTTCTTTCCAATTGCTTCTGTGAGGCCTTCGAGGTTTAATGAACTCTGATTAATGTTAACGACATCATTCAATGCCTTTAATGTTTCAGTTGCATTGACAGCAGTTAATGTTCCTTCCAATTTCTTTTTGAATTCATCGAGTTTTTCATTGATCTTAAACTTTTCTCCAAATTTCAACAATCTGTAAAGTGATTTATCTGTTCCATTGCAATAAAGAACTGAATTTATGTCTGTATCACTAGGAATTACACTTGATGCATATTTTGTAATTAATGTTTCAGCCTTTGGACATGCAGAATAGAATGTCGGAACAAGAATTGCAAAAACAAGGCATGGCAATCCCAACAAAAGTGCAAATAGAAAACCAAATGCTGGAAAACTGCATGCAAGACATCTGCAGCATCCCTTATTGAAGAAGAAAATAATAGCATAAACAGCAATGATAATGGATATTATTACAACAGCTATGATCACTACGGGACCAATTAATTTCTTGGCTTTTTGAATATAAGCGTCTCCTTCGTCAGTGTATTTGTAAATTTGTTTATAATCAACCTTGTTTATTGATTCATTAATTTTACCACTGAAATCCTCGATCTTACCTTTAACACTGTTATTAATTTCATCAATGGATTTCTGTATTTTCTCTTGAGTTTCATTAATTTTTTGGATGTTGTTTTGGAATTCCTTCATTTTTGAATAAATATCTGACAATTTTGAAACAATGCTATCATTATTAATTAATTTTTTATCACAACCGTTACAACATGATTTGAACTCATTGTTAACTTCGTCAGCAGCTGTCTTTAATTCACCTTCGGAATAGTTCTTTGCTTCCTCAGACTTAGTTACGGCTTGAGTTACATTTGATTGGACATCGTTCAAAGTTGAATTAACAGTATGTATGAATTTCCTGAATGTTTCTTCTGCTTTTTTTACAAGATCATTAATGAGATTAATAGCAGCTCCAACAGTGGAAAGAACCGCATCAAATGCTCCCTCGACAAAACTATGAATATTTTTGTTTAAAACTGCAGCATTGTTAACACCACTTACAATGCTTCCACTTGCAAAATAGAACAAAACAAGGGAAACAACCATCACTGCAATAAATACTAAATGAACAATAGCTCCTGACCAAGTAAATTTCTTACCTTTAGTTGGTTTGAAGCAGCAGCAAGCACCGCATTGAGAGATAAGAAAGAAAAGAATAACAATTACCAAAATTATTAAAATAACGGCTATGAATCCAGTTAAAGATGCTAGGTATTCCATATGTTTGTCTGGATCAAATTCGTAAATTGGTTCTTTCCTAGTAATCATTTGGTTCAATTTGAAAACTTTGTTAGCTGATGGAGCAATGCCTTGGTAAGCTTTATAAACAAATTTTCCTAGTCCTGATGCACTATCTGATTTGCAATCTTTTGGTAAATCCTCTGCTTTGAGTTTCCAAATAAGGAAGAAAACAAAGATCATTTTTGAAAATTCAGACAATTCAATAACTTAAAAATCGATTAAAATTTCTATCTTTTTATTCTATTAAAAAGGATGAATAAGTCGATTTTGATAATGATGTTTTTGATAAGTGAGATTTTTGAGAAAAAATAATTTTTTGATAATTATATTTTATATTCTTAAAATACATTTGCCGTTAATATTTAAAGATTTAATGTTGTAAACAGAAATTCATCAAAGGTGACAACTCAGAAAAGCTAAAATATTGAATTTTTGGAACTTTTGATAGAGCACGTTTTTAAATATTAATAAAAGTAAATGTATATTTTGTAAAGATTCGTTTTAATAAAAAAATAAAATTTTGAAGAAGAACACAAAATCTTCTGAAAAATAATATCACATAAACTCATATTATTTTCTAATATATAACTATTTTATATAAAAATCAAATTCAATGATCTTAAAAGCGAAGGATAAACCTCAAAATTTAATATAATGAGTGGGAATATAATGCTTATCTATCATAAAACCATATGAAATATTAATTTTTGCTTTACGCCTAATTTTTGACGACAATTAGCAAAAAATGTTAAATGTTAACACTCAGTCCATTTGAATATGAAAATAAAATTGACTTTGATTAAATGTTTTTATTTATCATGCAATTCTTCTTGCGACCAAAGATTTGAATAAAATTTCAAAAATAAGATAGCTTAAAAATAATATACGGTAGTGTTTACTAATAGATGAATAGTATATAAATTCTATTAAAATGGATTTGATCCAAAAAAATATATAAAATTTGATCATAAATAAAATCGTTTTAAATTACTTCTTCATTTACCCAGATTTTCCTTACTTTTACCACCTCTCTAAAGCTGGGGACACCGCCTATCGTTGGGGGTAGCTATTAAATAGAACCACCAAGGTTATTTTTCGAACTGCCGGTGTAGTGTAGTGGAAACATCCGACATAATGATTTATTATGTCAAGATTTGATTCCCATTTAGCCAATTTTTTTTCTTTTTTAGATCATGAATTTTTTTTGGGTCACTATAAGATTTGTTTCATGTTCTAAATCTGCTGCATATGTAATCTATTTTTATTTACCTATTTTTTAAAAATCTATTGGATTGCCAAATTTGAATATATTTAAAATCATAAAAATCCAAAAAACTATAAATATATGTTTTATGCATAGTGCCGATACTCAAATATATTACTTAGATCCATGAATAATATCCGAATTTTTTTTCTTAAAATTAAACTTCAAAACTTCTTGCAATCTTATTCTTCATCAATTGTAAATTTTTAAAACCATTTTTTAAAATAATTTTGCGTAAATTTTATTCTCATGTTGTTTTAATCGAAAATTGATACATTTTCAAAAAAATAATATTGACTTATGAAATTCATTTTTAAGGTGAAATAGTATTGTTTTTATTAAAGTATATGAATAATATATAAAAATTAATGAATAATATAAGCAGATTTTTAGTTTACAAAACAAATATGAGCAATGCAATTTCAAACTTTTGCTGGCAATTTCGATATTGCTCAAGTTTGTAGTATTTGTGATACCTATAACATCGGCTTAATCAAAATTCGATTTTTCTTATGAGTTATTGAGAAAATTTGATTGCAATGAGAAGGATTTCGACGTTTTTGATAAACTAAGAGCTGAGCTTTAGGGGTTCAGTTCATTTATGGCTGTAGTTTGATGCGTAGATCTCTTTTTTATTGTAAATTCTTTCAGCATGGAGATCGAGAATGAATCTTTTGAGAACTTTATGAGTTTTTACACCCGTAAAGAGGTCCTTCGAGGAAAGATAGTCCAGACTACATGAAGATGTGGGTTAACCAAAAAAATCCGATGGTTTCCCCATATTCATGTAGATCTTCGAAAAAATGAGCACCAAAAAAGCCAAAAAAATAGGCTTTTTATTGGATTTGTACACTAGATCAATAATCTATTTAGGATCTGACACTCTTTTTAGCCAGAGATATGAGGTCCTTTCTAGGAAAACGATCTATTCATCCATAAAAAAAATGAATTATCGTTTTCCCCAGAAATTACATGGGGAGTGGTAAAAGTAAGGAAAATCTGGGTAAATTATAACAATTATTTTTGGTTTTATATTTTTTTGGATCAAATCCATTTTAATAGAATTTATATACTATTCATCTATTAGTAAACACTACCGTATATTATTTTTAAGCTATCTTATTTTTGAAATTTTATTCAAATCTTTGGTCGCAAGAAGAATTGCATGATAAATAAAAACATTTAATCAAAGTCAATTTTATTTTTCATATTCAAATGGACTGAGTGTTAACATTTAACATTTTTTGCTAATGGCGTCAAAAATTTTCTCACTGGGTTTTCGTCTATCAATCCCAGCTCATTATATACGCAACCAATCAAAAATCTGATATGGGAGTCCAAGGCTAACTTTTTGTTGTCTACCTAATAAAAGAGGAAGCAGCATTAGTGAGAATAATCGCAAATATTCAATTTAAATTATCTTTTTATTCTTAATTTAAAGTGACAAAAAGAATAAAAAACCTATTCTAAGGCATGTTGTTATGTAAATGAGACTAGACATCATATTTTATGTTATGAAAAAAAAATATTTAGAATTTTAGAACAAAATAAATAGAAAAAATAGCATAACTTATGGATGTGCGTATATTAAATTTAATAAATTAAGAGAAATTATTTTTGGCGCCAAAATTATTCGTTAACTCTCAAATTTTTCTGAGTCAATAAGCCGCCAAAAAAGTGTCATTTCTTTATAGGAAAGGAAACCTATTTGACGAACAATCCGGACACTAGTGCCTCAGCGAATTTCCCCAAACCCACCAATCCCCTCCCTGCTGTTGTGCACCATCGATGGAAAGTAAGTCATCAATAGTCTCTTTTCCTGATTTCAAGCTAACGTTAGATCATTCATGAAAGAAATCATTGCCTTTCATCAGAGACTTTCGTTATAACTGCGCTGCTCTCAAGTTCATCTTGAGAAATTTACGTAATAACTGAATTCCCAAATTCTTTAGGTGATCCAAAACACTGTAGCTGCTTGAACTTTGGACGAGCCTCGCACCCCAGAGAATAGAAATCCCAATCTTGCTCATGTTTAGTTGAATTAGTCTGCAGCAGTACAGCTCTGATACCACAAGATCGTGATGTATACAAAGTCACAACGCTATTTGATTCAACAACTAGCTAGTTTTGACATCAAATTGCAAAATTTGACTTCGTTATGAGCTCTTTGTAGCAAAAATACATTACACTTAAAGACTAGTTGCTAGACTGTAGTAGTTTGTTCGTATATATCTATTTTTCCCCAACGTATTGCATACTACATTTTGACAAGACTTGCAACCTTATAGTAACCTCGTTGGGAATTGTTCAAGCAAAGCGTAGGTAGTTAAGGTCGAGTAAGAGTTCTTCTTAAATCTTTCACTGAATGAGTAGGTGTTGGAAGAACTGTTCTCTAAAGCGATACAGTTGCGCTACATGTTCGTCAACTTGTCTAGAAATAAATATATCATTTGTTTTATACGTTTTTTCGTAATAAATCTATTTGTATTTGTTGTATTTGAGTATGAAGATAACAAAAACTACGGCATAAGACGCAGTACACTGGGCTTCGTTGCCATTTTATTTACCATGTTAAGAATAAACTTAACAGACATGCTTTGTTTTCGACGAAGCCATCTAAAATAACGTACATCTAAATAAAACTAAAAAACTGTAAAATTTCTTTATTTGATAGTATACTTCAAATTATGCACTATACCTTCTAGAATTCTATAACACTCTTTGCATATAATTTTTTTAAAAAAAAGTTATATCTCGACAAAAATATGATTTATCAATAGAGTATGTAAAATAAAACTCATTCGCAGTATTAAAAAATCGTAAATCTTTCCAAAAAAATTTTGAATTACAAATTTTAAAACTTAAAACAACATTTTTTGAAGCGAAAAAACGAAATCTAATTTTTTTTGGAAAATTTAGAATAAATAGAGCTCTTTAACTCGTCGAATACAAATTGTTTTCAAGTTTTTTTCGACCGGAAATTGAACTTTTAGAGTTTATACAATAAGATTCACATGAAAAAATACGGGTTTAACAAAGAAATCACCAATATAAAGGTTTTTTAGTAGAACGAGATTGATAAAAACTATGGTATGATAAAAAGACGATAATTTTTTTGGCGGGATAATTGAAGAATATGAATGATTCGAATTACAGACATACTCTAGTCCGAAACTTACTATGGTTCGTGACTTATTTTTGACACAGAATAGCTGTAGACTAAGGCTTACTCTAGATCCAGACTTATTATACAATTAAATTTGCTTTTGGAATAAGACTTAATTTTAGTTACAAACTTATCTTAATATCAGACTTATATTTAGAATCAGACTTACTTTAGTCTAGAACTTACATTTAGAATCAGACTTCCATTTCAAGTCAGACTTACTTTCGTCCGAACTTACATTTCAAGTCAGACTTACTTTCGTCCGAGACTTACATTTCAAGTCAGACTTACTTTCGTCCGAGACTTACATTTCAAGTCAGACTTACTTTCGTCCGAGACTTACATTTCAAGTCATACTTACTTTCGTCCGAGACTTACATTTCAAGTCAGACTTACTTTCGTCCGAGACTTACATTTCAAGTCACTTACTTTCGTCCGAGACTTACATTTCAAGTCAGACTTACTTTCGTCCGAGACTTACATTTCAAGTCATACTTACTTTCGTCCGAGACTTACATTTCAAGTCAGACTTACTTTCGTCCGAGACTTACATTTCAAGTCAGACTTACTTTCGTCCGAGACTTACATTTCAAGTCATACTTACTTTCGTCCGAGACTTACATTTCAAGTCATACTTACTTTCGTCCGAGACTTACATTTCAAGTCATACTTACTTTCGTCCGAGACTTACATTTCAAGTCATACTTACTTTCGTCCGAGACTTACATTTTAAGTCATACTTACATTAAT